TTTTTTTTGGGGGGGGGGGGGCGGCGTGGTACCGGATTGTGAGGGGACCCACTTTATTGACAAATAAAGGGACGCGATCTCCTACATTGTAGCGGTGATTATCTGCTGATGATGTACTGGATCGGAGATTTGTTAACAGTAGCAAAATTAGACTGATTTTCAGAGCTTCCATTTTACTCTATTTCTTCCAACACCTTTCCAACGCTGGAGAGACGAAGCATGGAACGGAAGCTGTAGAAGTGAAAGACTTCCAACGCCCGTTTATCGTTGCCTGAAGCGCGTCGTTTTGGTTTTGTGTGTGGCCACTAAAACGCGCCGTCTTACGCTTTATAAATGAATGAAATCTTGCTAAAATAAGTAAATATGCATGAAAAAAGATTGAATAATATTTACTTGTAAACTTTTTTTCTCTGAAAATCACATACAAATTATTTAAAAGCATTCACGAGTAGGTATTGAAGTTATTTACATTCGTCAGTCAACATTATATTGCTATTCATTCGTGTGATATTTAAATAATTAAATATTATTTTATATAAAGTTAAAATATTCATTTATTAATATTCTAATTTCTAAGGTCATAGAAAAAGGCTACACTTTGCTATAAATAAGCTAAATTCTAGTGGTTAGTTGTTGGGGTCAACAAAGTTTCCCAAAGTTGTCCACACAATATAATTAACAAAGTTAAAATTAAGAATTTTTTTTCTTCAAAATTAAACTCTTATTTTATATATATAAAGGAATATTTAAAAATCAAAATTTACTATAGGTAATAATTAAATATAACTTAATATAGCTTTATTTTAGAAAAATCTGTTCCCACAAAGAATACCAAAACTGTCCAAACTATTCAATAAAAATTTATGTTATATGATCACAAATTCACAATATAAACAATAAAATTACATTTTACAGAAACATTTTAGGTCTGTTAAATAATAATTTATTGTGAATAAATTGCTATGTAGCAAAGAAGAAGAACGAATAAAAAATATATGTAAAAAAAAAAAGGGAGGAGAGGAGAGGACCCACGTTGGCGTGGAACGGGGCTGGCATTGGCAGCCAGGGCTGCTGCATAAACAGAGGAGAAAGGAGGAGAGGAGCGTTGTCTCTTCACGTTATCGTCTGATTTGATTCGTCAATAAATAAATTTCTGAAATCAAAACCAATGAGAAGAAAAAAAAGGAAAAGCTTTGAATCCAACTCCAACAAAGCCTATTTATTCTTTTCTTCACTCACTCAAAATCTTTAGGCACCGCCATTTGGAAAATCCCAATCTTCTCTTTCTCTGATATCATTTCTGGTAAGTTCTCTTTTTTGTTTTTTCTTTTGGGGGGGTGGGTTTATTTTGGCACTTGATTTTTTTATATTATTTTACTATTTTGAATGACATTTTGGTTAAATACCCAGAAGCTAAATTTCAATTTTGATGTTTTTTTTATTAATTTTTATTTAGTTTTTTTTTATTTTGAATTCTGGGATTATTCTGTGTTAAACTTTATTTTGTTTTCGTTTTTGAGTCACTGAATTGATTTAAGTCTGTAACCCAAATACTTGATTTTGACTTTGATCCTTCATTTTGGTTAATTTTGGATCTTCATTTAGTTGGAATCTAGCTGAAATTATGATACTTGAAATTTTCTTGTAAAACCCAACAACTTTTTTCTTTTTCTAGTTCTATTTTTTTTTCTATATTATGCTTTAGATTGCTTCGTTTGGATGAGGAATCTGTTTGAAGATCTAAGTGAAAACCATGTTTTTGAGTAGTTCTTGTTTTTGTTTTATTGACAGACCTTTTCTTGATTGCTCGGAAGAAAGATTCGGGCCGTGATTTCATCCCATTTCAACCTTATATTTGTTCACTTGTGAAGAATTTGGTGGTTTGCTTATATCTAGTTGACTATCTTCAGAAAACTCAATTTGTGGATTTGAGGCTTTTGATCTTTATTGGCAATGGAGCACCTACCTGTTGAAGTCATTGGAAACATTTTATCTCGGCTTGGAGGTGCCCGAGATGTGGTAATAGCCTCTGCAACATGTCGAAAATGGCGAGAAGCTTGTCGGAAACACCTTCACACCCTAGAATTTAATTCTGGTGATTGGCCTTTTTATCGTGATATTACACCTAGACGATTAGAGATCCTGATTACTCAAACAATATTCCAAACTACTGGATTGCAAGGCCTATCAATTTTGATGGATGATGTTGATGAGTTCTCGGCTTCAACTGTTATTGCGTGGCTCATGTATACTAGGGAAACCTTGCGTCGGTTGTCTTATAATGTTCGGACCAGCCCAAACATTAACATCCTTGAAATTTGTGGGAGGCAGAAGCTGGAAAAGCTGTTACTAGCCCACAATTCTATAGCAGGGGTTGAACCTAACTTTCAGAGATTCCCTTGTTTGAAGTCCCTCTCTTTGAGTCATGTTAGTATTTCAGCTTTGGATTTGAGCCTATTGCTCACTGCATGTCCAAAGCTTGAGAGCTTGGAACTTGTCAATCCAGAGATAGCAATGTCAGATGCACAGGTGACAGTGGAACTGAGCAGCCCAACATTGAAGAGTATTTATGTTGAAACAATTAGTTTGGATAAATTTATGCTGGAGGCCGATAGTATTGAGCGTTTGCACTTGAGGGATTGTGCCCTTGAACTTTTTGAATTGATTGGGAAAGGTACTTTGAAATATTTCAAGATTGATGATGTTAGTGTGATACATCTTGACATTGGTGAGACTGTTGATAATCTTGAGATTGTTGATGTCAGCAACTTCACAATCATCTGGCCAAAATTCTACCAGATGATTTCAAGATCCTCGAAATTGAGTAAGCTTCGGCTTTGGGACGTGGCCTTTGATGATGAAGATGAGGTTGTGGATTTGGAAACAATTGCTGTTTGTTTTCCACAGCTGAACCATCTTTCATTAAGTTATGAATTGAGAGATGGTGTCATGCATTATGGCCTCCAAGGATCTTCTAATTTGGAGAATGTGAAGGTGCTGGAGCTTGGATGGACAGTAATTAATGATCACTTCTCGCATTGGGTTGAGGAGCTGCTAAAACGATGCCCAAATCTTAAAAAAATGATTATTTTTGGGGTTGTTTCAGAAGCCAAATCACATGAAGAATGCCAGATATTGGCCAATTTCACCTCATCCATTGTTCAGCTTATGAGGAAATATATGTATGTAGAGGTGGAGTTTGAATATGAGTAAAATTCTCTCAATTGCATTGTTAAATTCAAGTTTTGGTTGAGTTATAAATTATATGAACAGATATGCAGGTAAGATTTACAAAATATAAATCCTGAACATCCTTTATTTTTGCATCCTCTAAATGATTGCTGGTGTTTCTTCAGTTTGATTGTAAAAATATATGCAATCAAAAGAATACTGTTGTTTTTTCACTAAATTGTCAGTTTACTCCATTGCTATTATTGACCTATTTGTTTTATTCCAAAATTGAAGATTCTCTCTCTGTAATTTGCACTGCTGTCACATGGACTGCCCTTCTTCCTGTTGTATTATTTTCTTATATTATCAGCTTTGATGAAGCTAAAGTTTCAAAAGAACTTTATCCAAAATAATGTACTGCTTTGTGTGTATACACGAGCCTAGCCTATGAGAATAACTTCATTCTGGAGTTCGTGGATTTTTAGTAGCGAGGGGAAGATTGATAATTGTGATGAATTGCTTTTTAGTACACTCACAGTTAATAGATTTCTTCTGAAAAACTTGATTGTTATTTGAAAATTCTCTGATTGAAAGTTGTAGCAGTCTCTACCTTTATATTTAAAAAGCGAAGTGGAAATAATTTCTCGGTGGCTTCCTTTGCACGAAACTATTGGTTTGCAGATGATGTAGGAAATACTTCAACAACTGTTATAATGCAAATGCAATATACATGGCCATATTGACATATGTTATGACCTATAAAATGAAATCAGATTAGGTCCGTTGATTGATGAAATAACAGGACACAACGAAAACATTCTGAGTTTATATAGCAAGTGCTTAGCTCCTGCTGTTCAAGATAAAGTTACTGGGCAAAGCCTTTAATGAGGTTTGGTACTTGTACAATTTGCACATATTTTTTTCTTGTCATTTTATCACCTTGCTTCTTGTTAAACCAAATACCAGCAGTGTTTGTATCTTTGGTTCCTTGCTTTGACTGATTCTCTTAACAAAAAACAGGGTGGATTTTCCTTTTGCAATTTGTTACTGGTTACTTATATGCTATTGATGAAATGGCATCCTACAGGGTGCAGGCAACTATTAGAGATCACAAAGTACTAAGACTTTTGCTTGTCAAAAAAAAAAAGTACTTGAAAGTTGAAACCCTTTTTTTCTTGAGCCCTTAACCATGCACCTTGAAGAGTACTATTTCAATT